TTTTTGAACTCTAATTATTTATTTCTCTTCTTTTAATAAAAAATAATGCCTTTATGAAATTATAAATTTTAAATATTGAATGGGTATTATATATTTAACATATATTTTAGTTTCACCTATATAATCAGTAATTTTTCCCTTTTAGTTTCTTGAGATTGGAATAAAAATTGAATTATAAAATGAAAATTAGCATTTAATAAAGTTTTTAAAACTAAATAATTAATTAGTAATAAAGTTTTTTAGCTAAATAGTTAATTAGTATTAGATTTTATTAAAGAAAATAGAGAAAAATATAAAAAAAAATTTTAATTTTAGTTTTAATTTTTTAAAAGTTGAATTAACTTGACTCAACCTGAGACCTATATGGATGGATAATGGATTTACTCTTTAACCCAAGATTTGAAATAACCCAATTCGAATAACTCAAAATTCAAGATATTCTAATTCGAACCCACTCAATCCGCCATATTTGCCAGGTCTATAAATGATTACGTTTTTTTTTTTTTTTTTATCTCATCTTACCTTGAATAGGAAAAAATTGAGGATTTCTTTGCCATCAAGAGACCAATTGTGGATGATGAAGTATGGCCTATGTTAGAGAGATGAGGGGTGGGGAGTAGAAGTTCAATACCGGATTTCTGCTCAGCCTACAATGCAAATGGGGTAAAAGTTTGGGCCCAACCTTGGGCCAGCCTTCCAATCACTCTAGAACCAATTTCGGCTTTTCAGGGCATGTTTGATACCTTGATATATTCTGAATTTTTGCTATTGAAGTTAAAGCTGAATTAAACAGAATGTTTTAGAAACTGTTTTATAAAATGTGGAGCTATAAAATTGTAGCTTCTAAAAGTAAATTTTTTTACGTAACTTCTAAATTTGATAAATTAGATCTCATGTATATATAAGGTCATATCTTAAAAAAAAAAAAATTAATTAAGATACTAATAAAAAAACTACATTTTAAAAGTTTCTAATAAAAATATCATATTCTCAATTTTACTAATAAAGGATTTATGGGATGTAAAAGCTTACCTAGCAAATGCCTTCATGGCTCATTTTTTTACAAATCAACAAGTTACGTTTTTATTGAATCTTTGAAAGATGAAATCAATAATATGATATTATTGATTAAAAACTTTTGAAAGTTAGTATTTATGATTAAAAATATTTTGAAAGGTCATGTCTTTATATATATGCATGAAATTTCTAATAAATTTATTAATTTTAAAATTATAAAATATTTTACATGAAATCATAATTTATACAGTATCTTTTATAAAAACTCTACCCAAACAACATTTTCATAGAAAGTTACAGACTTTGAAGGTCAAACATGCTTTAATTGACACCATTAAGTACCTGGATTCCTTGATATTGATAATTTACTCATGATATGAGACCATGGATTCATAATTTCTTAAGAAGAATTACTATGGTGATGGGCTTGATTTCTTCTTTAGCCATTTCTTCATCCACCATTCTTCCATAAATGTCAAACAAAGTCTCCAAATTTATCCCTTCTCCAAAATGGTTGCAGAGCATGGACTCCTGTATGGCCCTCACTGCCTTTGCTACTGTCCTGCCATAGCTCTCTTCATTCTCCTCATCCCTTTCAATCTCAAACATTTCCATCCTCTCTAACGCAAACGAACCTTCTTTCCTCAGTTCATCTTCTATTTCACCCTTTGATGCTGCATAGAAATGCACTTCAAAAGAATCAAGCTTTTCCTGCTCAATCTCTCCCTGAGAGACCAAAATAGCCAGAGAACGATTGAGAAGTTCCCAGAAGAAAGAATTCCCTCTGTCTACGTGATCTTGGCCTACTCTTCCCAACAGAGTAAGTACCATCTTCCCTCCGGTGACTACCTCTTCTGACCGGGATCTAAGGAAACATGAAAAATCCTCCTGGAATTGTTTGACGTATGCTTCAGACACAATTGGTAGGCTTGAGTTGGAAATATAAATACTTCCTTTATTTATGGACTTTCCATTCTCATCCTGTAGAGCTGGGGGAACCTAAAAAATTAGAGAAAATTTAATTATTTTGAGACCCTTAATGAGAGGTTAAAAGGAATCGTATTGTAAGTGTTAGAAAATTTATTTTTTAACAACTTGACCTTAAACTTTTCATAAACATGTAGATCTTGACTTAAAGAGTTGTTTCAGACAGATGGTTTAAATTAAAAGAAAAATAATGGAGAAGAGAACCTTACCTTTGAGAGCCAGTGTAAACTATAGGATGAATAGATAAAATGCAAGGAATTGTTGGGAAAGAGTCTTCCATAGAACGACCCAGGGCAACCTGCTATGAAAATGGAGGGAAACTGGCCACCTTTCTCCTTCTTAAGTTCCCTGTAAAAATCTGGTAAGGTCATAAAGACAGAATTGAAGTCATTGGACGGAAGATCGTTAAGGTGAACTCGGAACTCCGGTGGAGAATGGAGGAGTTTATGACATGCGAGTTCAACAGCTTCAACAATGTCTTTGATGATGGATAGTGTGTTTGGTCCAGAAGAACAGCCCAGATCAGCTATGCCTATGCTGTTTGGAGTTATTTCTGAGTAAACTTGTTGCACTGCTTCTGTTGTTATGTGCTTCACCATGTCTGCTACCTTCTTCTGCTTACAAAGTATGAAAATGAATGAATTAAAAGATAAGAAAAGAAATGGTAGTGATTTTGGGAAGAAAATTAGAAGGAAGAACCTGCCTGAAAAGAGGAATTTTTGGCATAGCTGGTCTTGCCAACTCCTCCTGTCATGCGAAAGACTTTCTCTACATCCATCTTGGTTGGTTGGAGTTAGAGCAGAGTGATCTGTGCCTCAATAGTATTAGTCGTTGGTCCTTCCCTTATAAAGGCAAAATTTCAAGATTAATGCTATTCTGACCTAGAAACATGGACCAAAAGAGCCGAACCATTATGATTAACGCTTTTAACTCAACGAGTTTCGTAATTTGATATGTATGTATTCACTTATTTTATAATGCGTATTATACGTCAGTAATTCTACCCGTTCTCTCTAAATGGCGTTACTCAAATTTCAATGATGTAGCTGGCTTGTGGACTTCCATTTAATTTATATATTACTTGTCATGGCAGTTCAACTTCCACTGAGAATTACTGATAATGGGTAATCAATATACATCATTGTGGTTTGGGTATAAAACCAATTAGGCCTATACAGATTCTTAGTGCTGCCGTGTTCTGCTTTAATTTGTTTAAGTAAAACAGGTTTTTATTGCTGCCACTGCTTGCAAGATCACCAATACAACTGGATGTTAGGTATATCAGAAACATCAGAGTCACTACCAGTGCCAGCCTTGCGGCTAATGCTAAATGTCTTGAGATGAGCCTTTCTTTAAGTACTAAACTTTAAAGACTTTTCAAGAGCCTCCTAATGATGTATATGCTTTATTAGTTAAATCATGCCAAAAGATGTGTAAGACTTAATTTTATTTATCTCATTTCTTATTTCTTCTCAAAATATACATTAGAAAAAAAAAATAGAAAAAAAAAAGGTTTTGACAATCCAAACTGCAAAATATCGGACTTATACACACAGATGCTAGGTTATGGAGGAGTACACATCAAAAGTCATTCGCAAGATGAGTTTGTGCGTTTGAAGCTTGAGGTTTGTGTTTGTCATTGTCCATTACAAGCAGTACGGCCATATGCACCGCACAAAGAGGGGATAGGAATATAGATATGAATTGAAAAGCAGGCCCCATGGAGTCGTTTAGCTTTGCCTTTTTTTTTCCCTAGCTTTTTGATTCCCCCCGGACCTCCCCATATAATGGGTTTGTGGGGCGCAATAATGCTGTTTGCTGTCTCCTTTGGCTTATTCTGTTTTCTCCAATCCAAAGTCCATATCAAACCCATGAGCACTTTACCTTTCCCGTTTTCACCCCAGGCTCCTTTCTTCTTTTGATATCACGCGTGCTAAGAAAATGCTAGTGAATTGATTGCCTGACCTGATACAGGACATTGATGGTTAGGTTGTCAAGTTCAAATTAAACTTCAAAATAGTAAAGGTAGGCAGGGCCATATAATTGACACACTTTTTTTTTTTTCTTCGTATATAATTGATTCCATTTGGTTGCTAATAGGGCTGGGTATTTGGTTTGGATTGTCTAAATTAAATTAAATTTTTGTTATTTAAAATAATTTTAAATAAGACTTTTATATTCAATTTGAATCAAATTTTTAAATTGATTATGATTTTACTTATTTGAAATTATTTATATAATTTAGTTAATTAACCAAAATATCCAAAATATATCATTATTCTTCACTTTTTGTCATTAAAAACTTTTTCTTTTTAATTTTGATTATTTCTAGTCTTTTTTTTTCATATTCCTATATATAAATTTGACTAGAAAAAAAACTTTGTTCAAAAAAATTTCATATAGCACAAAAACTAAAATAAAATAATAAAATAAATTTATACTACAAAATTTCATATAATTTTGGATAGTTTAGTAATTCATAGTGATAATTTCATATGTGAGTCAATAACTATAGGAAAATGATTTAAGAACAACCTTTTTATACCACTTTTTAATATAATCTGACATATCATTTAAATGATTGGCTTTTTTCATTCATTTGAGACATATGATATTGAATACATCAACTCATTTAATGACATGTGGAAGTTGTATGAAAAAGTGGTAAAAAAGCTTATCCCTATATCATCACCCATAACCATATGTGAATCAAAATTAATTTCAATCATTTTGGTTTTATCCAAAATTATCCAAATATCCAAAATATCTAAACCAAAATTAAAAAATTTAGGTAAAAAATTTAGATAATTCAATAATATTCGAATTATGCCACCCTTAGTCGCTAATAATCTTACTCTTTTAAGGAGATTAGTTTGAATTAGTTATTTTAGTTTAACTAATAACTGATAATTAATATTCAATGACTAATAATAATTATTATTTATAATTTGAAATATATAATCCATTCAATTATAAATAACAGTTGACAATATCTTTCCTTTCTCTCTCTTCTCTAGAATCCTCT